AATCAAGAGATGGGCTTAGAAAGGCCAGGTGATACACGATGGGGATCTCACTACAGAACTGTAATGCATGTTATGTTCTTGTATCCTTTAATCAAGAAAGTTCTCTTTTAGGATTGGGAAGGAAAGTAAAGGGGCTGAGGCTAATGGAGCTCAAACTATGCTCACAGTATTTAAGTCCTTTGAGTTTGTTTTCCTGCTACACTTGATGAATGAAATATTTGGATGACTTGTGCAATGCTTTGCAAAAGAGGGAGCAAGATATCGTAAATGCAATGGATCTTCTGGAGTTTACAAAGGTAGAACTGGATGTTTTGAGACAAGATTCTGGATGGCAAGAATTTCTTACCAAGGTCACTTCTTTTTGTGAGAAGCACAATGTTAAAGTGGTTGACATGAATGGGAAGTATATTCCTATGCAAAGATCAAAGCAGCTCTACAGAGGTGCCATTAATTATCACCGATTTCATGCTGATATGTTTTTGGGTGTCATTGATAGGCAAGTTCAAGAGCTTAATAATAGGTTTGATGAGGTAAACACAGAGCTACTTAGATGCATGGCATCATTCAATCCATCCAATTCATTTGCTGCTTTTAATGTTGAGAACTTGGTTAAGCTTGCTGGGTTCTATCCACATGACTTTGACTTTGAAGAAATGAACCAGCTTCGTTTTCAGTTGCACCACTATATCAATGATGTCAGAAATGATGAAAACTTCAAAAATTTGAGAAGTCTAGCAGAGTTGTCTATGATGCTAGTTAAACAAGGAAAGGTTGCGCGGTATGAAATTGTTTATAAACTTCTCAAATTGGTGCTTGTTCTCCCTGTTGCAACTGCTGGTGTTGAGAGGGTCTTTTCTATAATGAATTTGATAAAGAACAAGAGAAGAAGCAAGATGGGGCAGAAATATTTGAATGGTTGCTTGGTCACATTGATTGAAAGGGAATTCTTCATGCAAGCTAAGGATAAGGACATCATCGCTCATTTTCAAAGCATTAAGGATCGAAAAGTTATCCTGTAACTTGTAAGTTATAAGCTTTGTTACCATTTTGCTGTTTTATCCTCTATTTATTTCACATGTTGCCACTTTGATATGTTGATCATTAGTAGCCAGACAATTTCAAGTTGTGATCAATTTTATTAATCAATGATGCTGCCACTTAATTCTGTGTTATAAAACTATAATTTAGGTTGTCAATTTTTTTTTCTTGCCATTTGCAATTTTGAATACCCACTATCCAAATCCTGCGCCCGCCTCTGGGCAGGGGTGTTTAATCCCCTCACATTCCATGACATTACTTTCCACACTCCAACTTGCTTTTCATTCATTGCAGAAAAAATAAGATAGCTAGAAGACTGGCCATCAGTTACCTGATGCCAAAAGTGAGTCTGAGCAGAACCTGTAAAGTGCACAAACTGATTGTTTTCTACTCCTATTACATCTGACAAGGAACACAGCCAAAAACCTTTACACGGAGATCTAAGTGGAGCCAAAATATGACTAAGCATGATTGATAATATCATCATTTCTGGGGACATAGGATCACTGGTGCTAGCCATCCAGGGGCGAATCTACGTGGAGTCACTGGGGTCGCCTGACCCCGATGGTTTTCCATGGGTCTGTTGTACGTATATTTTTTCACCAGCCATGACCCCGGTTAAAAAATACGATTACCCCAGTGACTAGAGCCAATAGCAGCCCAACACAGCCAATTTTAATAGACAGTCCAGTTTGTGAAAGCATAACAGGCCTACGCAAGGGTCAAGAGCCCACGGCCCAAGGGAGAAGGCAAAAAGTCACGTTCAGTAGCTTTGCCCTAGCCCGCAGAAAGGCAGAAACATTCGACGATTCTTCTCCCATCAGTGCCTCGGCGCTCTCGCTGTTTCGTGATCAAAGGATTCGTTGCCGTTGCTTGCTGTTGACGGCGATGACGGACGGGCGGCCGCCACTGCCGCTATTCTCCGAGTCTCCGTTGATTCAATCCTGCTCAAGTACGGAATTTCCCCTGCCCGTATTCTACCAAGGTACCCTAAAATCACAAATCCTATCTCAAAACTATTGTTTGCTCCCCAATCTACAATAGTACAATTGTGAGATGCTTGCAGCTTATGGTTTTTTATATTTTTCAGTAAAATGCAATTTGCTTGCATTCCAACAAAGTAGATACTAGAGAGTACGTTTCAGCGTTCATCTGTTCATCTTGCCACCAAACATGTCACGTAAGTAAAATAGTAAATTTGTGACTTTTTAATCATAGTGTGCAACTATTTCTGAGCTTGGTAAACTGATGGTGGATATACAAACAAAAATCTTTCTTTTCCTTTGGTATATCGGCTCCTCAGCCTTGTGCTAGTTCGTCCTATTACGACGGCGTCGGTGGAAAGATGTTTCTCAGTAGTGAAAATTGTGAAGACAGACCTGTGAAACCGAATCGGCGATGGATTTATGAATGATTGTGTCATTTGCTTCGTTGAGTAAGAATTTCTTGATACAATTCCAAATGATGATATCATAGTTCGTTTTCAGAATATGGAAGATCGTACTCGCAAGGTGATATTATAATTGGCAACCACTATTGTAAATAGTTTCTTTTGTCACCTTATGTTATCGTTACATTTATCCATGTATGAATGCTTACTATTTGCAGTATATTATTCTTTTTATGCATGGTGTTAGATTATTGTCAACTATAATTAGGGCTCTAAGGCTAGGCCGACCCCATCGACGATTTATTCTAGATTCGCCACTGTAGCCATCCACATTGTTCTCCCCTTGGTTATCTTCATCCTGTCCACCCACATTCTTGCTCCCCAGGTCCTTCTTGCTTTTCCTGTCTGCTATTGGGCTTCCTTGCTTTCTTTTCTTCAAGAGTGTTTCCTCAGACAATGAGTCCTGGTCCAAATTGCACAAGCAGGACCCATCGACTGAATTACTTGAATTGGCATATTTGGGGGGTTAGGTGAGCATGATAAACATTTCTTGCTGGTAATTTTATATCTCTGGCCAGAAGATCTGCATGATGTCTCTGTTCTGTGACTATAAGGCCATATTGGTGTATGAGGATCTGTCAAATCCCTATGGGTTGCAGTCCTATCTTGAGGTTGTTTTGAAACCTTTGCTCACCTGTTTCAGCCTGGAGCTTCTCCTTAGTTTACTGTCCACCACTGGAGTGTCTCTCTTGGAGCTCCTCTACTTTGCTCCTTCAGCTTAATTTGCCACAACGTGAGCTAGAACCATGCTTTCCATTTTGTTTGCAACTTTTATCATGTGGTTCCACTTTCGAGTAGCTTCTACCCTCTATGAAAGCACATTTTAAGGAGCTCCAGGAGAGCAACTGCTGAGATTTGGCCTGTTTAGTAGAAAAGTGTGCTGAACTGCTCCAAGAGCGGGAGAAGAATCAGTACCAAAGAAAGAAGAATCCAGACCTCCGGATACCAATATTCCAACACATTACTACGTCCATGTGATTGCTCACGCGGTTTGTGGAGGCTCGCAACGCACGCCCTGAAAAACAATTTTATAGCACACTCCTGCTGACTTTCCATGTTGCCTGCCTGATCCCATTCCATTTCGGCCACCCCACTCCTACCCTCCAATGCTCACTCTTCCTGCGGGCAGCTTCCTTGCCTTTAGCCTCCTCCGCTCCGCTCAGGTCAGTCTCCCCAGCCTGTTCCTCAATCCACAATCTGATGTCTAGAAGAAATGCTCAGAGTTTGCGATTTTCTTGTTGGCCTCCAAGCCATGCCTCTTGCAGTTCTGGGTCTTCCATTGCGAGCTAGATTAGAGCATGCAGCTTCTTGTTTTGCTGCATTTGGATCTAGATCCACAGTTCTTGTTGGAGCCCTAGGAATCACAAATCTTCTTAATGTTCTGCGGCGTTGCTTTTCCTATTAAAAGCTGAGATAAGCAAGCATCGCATTGCGTGTGATCTCGGTGTGAGCTCTTGGAATGTTTTATTCTTTCTCCAACATTAGAATGTTTAGTTTCATGGCTGGTTTCTGGCTTCTTCAGTTTCAGGATTATCATCTGAATTGTGATATACTGAGATTTGCGTAGCTGTATTGTATTACTGATCTATTCATGTGCTAGCTTGTGTCATGTCTTGACTCTTGATTGAGTAGGTGACACCTGACTTCTATACTTCTATAATGTTGGTCAATTCGGTGAGATTTGGTCGGAGATATCCTTTTGACTTTTTGCACTTATATTATATATTTGTCTCATGGGTGATAGGGAGTACTATATTTTGAAATTGTGCTTACACCTACTGATCTGAAATATATACCACAACGATCCATCAAAAACCAATGTTGCATTCCAAATCAGGGACTGCAGGGAGCAGCTTATTTCTTGATTCCTGGTTAATTCTAGTGCTAAATCAAGGTTTCCATAGCTGAGGCTATGCTTAAAGGCTTAATATGTGTTAAAAGTACAAATATTTCTTGTAAGTCCGAAGAACAGATGTTATCATACTGTCATTTAGGACCAGTAATCACAACTTAGATCTCTCGTAGTTTAACTGGCAACTTCAGTACTTCGTGCCTGATCAGTCCTGACATGTTTTGCTTATGTTGGTGGCAACTAGAAAACTCAAACTGGTATAATTCAGATTTTCAAATTTACACAAAAAAACATGAACTGTCTAATGCTCTTCACTGTTCTTGCAAGAACACACAGAAAGTTGGATCAGAGTCTCAAAGACGTGAATATTAATTCCAACATGGAGATGGCGTTCTTCAAACAAGTCATCTTTACCACGGCCGTTCTTGCCATTATGCTCTCCTCACCAGCAATTGCTCACAAGGCCAAGAGTCCTGCTCCTCCAGTGCACCATGTTGACCTTGCCAACCTTCTTGGGCTACCTGCAAGAGACCAACGTCATCCAAACCTTCCAGGAGCAGGCGAATAACACCAAAGTAGGCATCACCATGTTTGTCCCCAAGGACTCGGCCTTCGCCACACTGAAGAAGACGACGCTTGCCAGGCTCTCCAAGGAGCAGCTCAAGTCCCTGCTCCTGTACCACGCATTCCCCAAATTCTACGACCTGCATCCTGGTGAGCTACGACCTTTGCCGGCTCCCGGTACACGCTCAACCTCACCGAACACTGTGCCAATATCCTGGTGAGGTCGGCGTGGTCCGACGCGAAGATCGGGAGCAGCGTGGCTGCGACGGCTCCGGTGGGCGTGTACGAGGTCAACAAGGTTCTCCTGCCAAAGCAAATCTTCAAGAGCCAACCCACCCAGCCGGTCTTGGAAATGAAATTAAGCACTGAATGTCATAATTAATTATTGTATTGTAGCCACGGTAAAACAGCATATCCTCGTTTGTTCTCATAAATCAGTTCAGACCACAACTAATCCTTGGGAATGAACATGTGTGAATTTTGAAACAAATTACTCATCTTGAACGTTAACTTGTTAAGTTACAAAATAATTAATGGCTTTAGGTAATGAAAGAACAAGCATCTGCACACTACCTATGTTGTGACTTGTTTGACACTTCAAAATTTAGAACTCCATCGGTCTTTAGGTACAGCCTTGCGAGCTCGTCGGGCGCCACCGCGGCCTCGTCCACGCCGAAGTGCTTCTCCAGCACCCGCAGGCTCATGAGCTCCCCGGCCATCTCCGCGTAGGTGAGCAGGCCATCGTGGTCGGCGTCCAGCGCGGCGAACCGGCCGTCCACCGACGTGTTGAAGGCGCCTTCGTCCTCCACGAAGCTCCGGACTGTGCTCCCGTCCAGAATCTCCACGCTCATCGTCGGCGTTCTTTCTTGGGACGTGTTCCGTGTTCGACTGTTCGTGTGAGTGGAAAAGTGAGGTTTCCTCTGCTGCTCTGGCTGGTGAGGTGAGAAGGCGATCGGTCGTCCTGCTTTTTTATAGGGTCACGACTCACGAGCGAGTCATAGGATTGGCCGTGGAAAGCACGTTTGGGCCGACGGTTTTTGCAGACGGGTTGGGCTGGGCCGGTGGGTTTTTGACGCTGGTAAGTTGCTGGTTGTGCAGCGGCGGTGCTTGGGAAAGACGCGAAATTCCATTGTTTTAGCCAATTCAGCCGTTGTTTCCTCGTTGCACCCGAATATTTTTTCAATTTAACCCTTTTTACGTCAAAATTTCACGTTTATATTTCTAAACGTCAAAAATCCATCTTCGGACTCTTGAGCTCAGCGCCGAGGTAAAATAGCTCGATGTCATAGATCATAGCGCCGACGCTTAAGACCGGATGGTGACAAGTGACATGGGGTTGATATGGAAAAAAGAAGAAGAAGTCCCTCCTGTCTCACAGCACGCATGCATGCACTGCAGCAGTTTTGAGATACGTGGTGCCTGTTTAGTTCGTGAAATTTAGGAATTTAGATACCGTAGCACTTTCGTTTTTATTTAGTAATTAGTGTTTAATCATGAACTAATTGGGCTCAAAACGTTCGTCTTGTGATTTTCAACCACACTGTGCAATTAGTTTTTTTTTGTCTATATTTAATGCTCCATACATGCATGGCAAGATTCGATATGATGACTACTGTACTATTTTTTAGAAAACTTTTTGGCAACTAAACAAGCATGCTGTTGGTGGTATTCCTGTGCGTGAGTAGAGCAGTAGAGCAGAGTCACGCTGACATCTTGCAGCTTGTTTTTCTCGATTCGACGCAGGGCAGCTAGTACTTGGCATGTACGTGTGGACCTGAGGCCACGTACGTGTCCACGCTACAGGTAAGTTTGCTGCCTATTTATTTTTCCGGGGCGGTGGTTTTTTTACAGGAGACGAAGAGATACTTTTTACTGGAGACGAAAGGATAATACCTCCCATGGCTGACACCTTACCTATCATTATTTACAATAAACATATTTGTGTTACACATATTTAAAAATCCAAGACTGTTTTGCGTCTGTTTTTTGTGGGTAGCACATTATCCGAAAAATTGTGCTGTCCTAATTCATAATTAATTCAGAGAAATGGTACAACAAAAAATGTTCAATGTAAAAAAATTGTACTATCAGAATATGTTCAATGTCACAAAATGACACAGCCAAAAAACCTTTTAAGAAAATCACTTTAAAGGCTTGAGAGGTCAGATCTAAGAGCTATCTAAAGAACCAAAAATAAAGGTTGGGCTATGTTTAGTTTCTCCCAAACTCTTAACTTTGGCACTATGCAAAAAGAAAATTTCTCGTCACATCAAACTTACGGTACATGTATGGAATACTAAAAGTAGACGAAATTAAAAACTAATTGCACAGTTTAGTTGTACTTTGCGAGACGAACATTTTAAGCCTAATTAGTCAACGGTTGGATAATTATTACCAAATACAAACGAAATGCTACAGTGACGCTACAGTACATTTTTCCAACTTTACACCTCCAAAGTTTGGCATCTAAATAAGACCTTTGTTTTGCTTCTCCAGAACAGCAGCCGCAGGTGCAGCTTTTGCTTTTTTTCCTCTTTTTGACAACTGTAGCAGCAGCGGCGGCTTTTGGCTACACCAGCCAGGTGCCGAACACATAGAAAGTCAGTGCTATATTACAAAACTTTTATGTTTCCGTACTAAATAAGGAATTGTATTATGTTTTTGCTAAATAAGGAATTTATTTGATATTATATTTTTTAGATAAAGGGAGCGGTTAGAATTGTATTATTTTCTAGACAACAAAGGGAGCACTAGTGAAAGCCCTAATTTAGTTTTGGTTAATTGATGAAACCTAAATGTACTAACCTTTGACTCTAAGTGTATATGAGATAGGTTTTTACACACCAAGCGGTGGAGCTTGATGGCAACCATGGAGGAAGATGGTGATGGCTACATGATGATGGATCAAATGCTCCACATTTGTGACAAGAAAGAGAAAAATAAAAATGGGCTCAAGACAGAGGTATAAAGCATAGGAGCCATTTTATTTTGGTGATCAAGACACTATAGAGAGTGTAATCATATTTAGAATAGATAGGCGTACTATGAAGAGGAAAAATCATGGTAAATTGTGGTTATCAAGTGCCACTAGGAGAATTCATTCATGTAGATGCATTAGTACCTAGTGTGTGCTAACTTAACCCTTAAAAAATGCTTTGGAAAAGGTGCACAAGTGGTGGAACATTTTGGTGTTAGCACATGGAAGCAAGGGTGGAAGATAGAAGTTGAAAAGAAGAGATGAAGTGCTCCGGACCCTGCTGAGTCCAGTCCATAGTGCCTGAGTCCAGTTGGAAACCCTAGGTGTCGGGTATCAATATTAGGATACCCGGCATAGGGAGTTTAGCAGACATAAACTCTAACTCGTCTGAACGATTAAAGACAAAAGCTATAGTCTTTTCGACCCCACAGAGGGGTTTCCGTCTCGCCCGATCCCGAGGGCGCAGACTCCGCCTCGCCCGACCCCGAGGGCGCGGTCTCCGTCTCGCCCGACCCCGAGGGCGCGGTCTCCGTCTCGCCCGACCCCGAGGGCGCGGGCTCTGTCTCGCCCAATCCCGAGGGAACGGGCTCAACCTCGCCCGACCCCAAGGGCGCGGGCTCGCCTTCGGAAGGAAGCATCAGCCCAACATGGGCACGCGCTGTCGCCAACCACTACCGATGGGAAGGCTGCGCATCGTCTCGATACGACTCATCGCCACGACGGCCACGCCGGAAGACACACGTCTCCCATGACCTCAATAGGAGAGCACTGTGCTGCCAACTCCCCGCCTGACCTCCGTCCAACGTCAGTTGACTGGCACTGTACCACCAACTACCCGTATGGCCTCTGTTAGGGGATTCGTTGACCATACCATCCGCCTAGATGAGATGGACGACAAGACCGGCGCACAACGCCCGCACTTGTGCTGCAGCAGCTAACAGGACTCCGGCATGGTGCCACTTCCACCATGATCTATAGGGTTAGCGGGACCCACGCGAAGAGGAGGACGACGCAACCCCAAGAGCCTTTTTTCTCTTTCTTCTTTTCCTCTTTTCTTCTCTCTTTCTCCGGTAACCTGCTCTCTCCCCTTGGTCTATAAAAGGGGCGGCAAGACACCGTTCAATAGGGGGAGATCGATCAATCGATAGATCGAGCAATAGAGACATCGAGCAATCGAACCTTCGAAGCCTCAACACGCTCACACAACCAACCAGAGCACTTCAACTCCACTTCATTCGATCCACGCCTCAGAGACTTAGGAGCTCCTCCCTCTCTCGCCAATTTGTAACCCCCTACTACAAACCAGGTGCTGGTAACACGAGTAGCCCGAAACTAGACGTAGGGACATTTAGCCCGAACCAGTATAATCCTTGTGTCCTTCTTAGCACACCATCCAAGCTAGATGCGTAATATACAAATTTACTTGTTGGCTGTTCAAAACACCGATAGTTGGCGCGCCAGGTATGGGCTCTTTGCGCGTCATGTCGACACCACTAAGCTGCGGATGGCTAGCCACGACGCGAGCTGGGCCTCGCACGCACATGCGTTTCGGGAGCCTAGACTTCATCGTCTCCATGGAGGGAGAGCTGGCACGGGCTAACGGCCCCGCCACCCGCCTCAGGCCGTCGGTCTCGATGCGGTCGTCGAGACCCTTGGAGAGCTACGACAACACACCCCGAGAACCCGTGCTCCCAGGAGTGACCAGCCCACCGCTTTCGATGGCGAAAGGCTGGAGCGCCAGCTCAACGGCTTCCTAGGACCCCGACCATCCTAGGAGGACCTGCACATCTTCTCCTTCTCGTTCGCCAACGTCATGGCATAGTTTTCTAGCGAAGAATCACTCTCCCCGGAAGGCACTATCTGGATCGCCCCATCGGCATTTCTGTTCGGTCTCCGCAACGCTGCGGAGAGCGTTGAATACCAGGTATCACAATACCTGCGTCCGTCCACCGCAAACAATGAGTTCGTGGGCATGACGGATTATGTTTCAGAGTCCTTCTATGACCTGATCGCAGAAGGCTCCGAGATCGTCTCCGATTCCGACTCCAGCGAGGGGAGCCACCACCCCTCGTGCGAATGTTTCATGGCGAAAATCCACGATGGGCAGGATGAAAATGTCCACGGTAGGGAAGCCACTCCCCTAAATGGCCAGGACGACATGGTCGAGGGGGACGCAAGGGCCCCGCACATGGAGCAGTTGCGGGCGTGGCAAAAGGAGATCAAGGACACGTGACTCTAGCTAGAGTAGGAGCGAGCAGAGCTCGAGCGCGAGATCGCACACCATGCGAACGGTGAGCACGCACGAGCCATGGCACACGACGTGCATAGGAGGATCATTGAGGACGATGATTGCCTCCCACACTTCGCCCGCGCTAGTCAGAACATAGCCATCGCCGCAGCTATGATCTAGAGCATGCCAGAGCTCATGACGCCCGATGAGCACCAAGCTCATCGAGAGATCTGCATGTTCCTCGAGCGATCGGCGGTGCAGTAGGCAGAAAGCTCAATGTCTCGGTGACGCGAGCTCGGTGTTAGCCAGCGCGCGTCCTCAGGACATCATGCTAGGGACATGTCCATCCACCTAGCACCGTAAGATGGCGAAAGGCCCACCAAGGCCCCGATACAAGGACGTCTCAGCCACGACCGTGCGCTTGGCTCACCCTGAACGCCCGAAGGCATGCATAGGGTGACATAGAGGAGGCAGCCGACCATGGCTACCACCCTCGCTGCAGCGGACACTATGACTACAAAGAGGACCAGAGTCCTAGCCTTGAACCGATGGGGCCTCAGGCCTTCGGCTGGCATATCCTCAAGGCGGTGCTCCCGCCCCGATACCGCCCACCGACAAACATCCCAAAGTACTCTGGGGAAATG